AATGTTCATATGAACAGTTATTGAGCTAATGTAGGCACGGGGTCATGCATGGTAGGACAGGCCCTGTACAGGAAAGGGATGTGGAACAACATTAACCAACATCCTTAGGGAGAGAAAATAAGACTCTGACGGAGGGCTGAGCAGTACAGGTGTAGCATGAAAGTACAATACCTGCAGATGTGTGGGAATGCGCCACAGGTGAAGCAGAGGTATAGGGGGAAGGAAGGAGAGAGCTGGCAGGAGGGAGAGTGAGGTGAATACACTTAGGGTTGCAAAGAAGGTACTACGTGAAGGTCCTATGTTTTGTTCAAAAGGACAGGTCACCCCTTGGACAATGGAGCAAACGTCTTAAGTTCCCGCAAAGTCTGGTCCCTAGGAGTTTCATATCATTAAGTCAAACCCTGGGTCCTAACTGAGTTCTCTGCCTCTTCCAGTGTCCTCAGCATGATGCTGTCCCAGCCCAAGGCCAAGGAAGAAGCCTTTGACTGTTCCACTCCAAAGGGCACCATTATCCCCCAAAGGGAGAAACAGGGGCACGTCTACCCCAAAGAGGATAAACCGCAGGATGAGCTGCAAAAAGAAGCCACAGTGCTTGGAGTAAGTCCCCTCATTGTAAGGAAGACACTAGGGAAATATTGCAAATGTGTCTTGACTACGGATCCGCAATGGATCTGGGAGATTCTTTTTTTTTTTTTTTTCCTGTCTGACTCCAGGCTAATTGGAACATGAAAGGGCACTTTGTGGGAAGACTATACGCTCCTCAGACCTTACCGTAAACTAAAACCACTAGATCTTTTCTACCTGAAATCTACACAATAAAGTCTTTTATAATTAGAGATTTTGGATTTAACCAAATAACGTTACTCAATATTATTAAATTAGATTATTTTATTTTGAGCTCATTTCTTAAACATTTGGGATGAGACGATCTGGACTAATCTCCCTATATGTTTTCTCCCTATTGACCTGAGTAATGGTAAGACACCGACGTGTCCTAGGTCACCATCCTTCGGATCCAGGACTTTAATTCTCATGGGGTCCTGAATATCCCTGTCTAAGACCCAACTCCTACTCACCCCAGCTCTGGAAACCTGCTCAGTTTCGCCCTGTGGAATTCAGAGTCAGTTAACATCATAATCTTCTTTATCCTCCCATTTTTTTTTTTTCCTCAAAGGCCCTTCTGGCTCCCGAAGGCACTGCTTGCATCGTAACCCTCCCTTCTAGGCATAGAAGTGAAGGCAGTACTTTCTTTGCTTCTCAAGAACACTTTTAGCTCAGTCTTTTCCTTTCAACTCCCAAAACTACTTTAGAATCTCATGTCATCTTACTAGGTAATTCACTCCCACTTTTTAAACACACACACACGCACACACATCCCTTCTAATTTATGACCATAACCTCAAATGTACTGTAAAAGCTGCCTAAAATGTACATGATATTTCTTTCTTTCTTTTTTTTTTTTTTAACGCCTAAAGCACCTGGTCTTCCCAGGTGGTCTCCCATCCAAATATTAACCGGGCCTGACCCGGCTCAGCTTCCGAGATCAGACGAGATCGGGCACGTTCAGGGTGGCATGGCCGTAGACAACATGATATTTCTTCATTCATTCACTTTCCTGCTATCCCAGAAAACTATTTCATACATACTTTGCCCTCAAAATGCCTCTAATGCTTTTTCCTTCTCCATGTATTACCTTGCTTCCTATACCACTGAGAAACGGAGGCAATCTAGACAGGGTTCCACAAGCCGCTACACACCTACGATTATCCACATCTGTGCCCACATAGCCCTCTCTCCTCTCCAGCCACTAAGAAGAAAATGCCCATCTAATCAATGATCGCCCTTGCTTTGCGCAGTAAATCCCATCCCTTACTACTTGTTCCAGTAATTCTCTACATTCTCTTTGCAAAAATTTGAATCGTCAACGTGAGCACAGAATCTTACTGCATCTTGAAAACAAAAAAAGTAAAATCAAATACTTTTAATTTCACGCACCCCCCCAGGTAGTGCCCGTTCGTTACTTGGCTTCCCAGTAACACTCCTGTAAAGGGTAGGAAGTCTCCAATTACTCCTGAATGATATTCTCTCTTGAATCATAGCCAACGGCATTTGTTCTCCCCTTTGCTCCACATGACTGACCCCATTTTCAAGTCTCTGTTGATAACTTTCTTAAATTAATGAAAGGGGTTGATGCAGTCAACCACTCTCTCTTACTTGAAACATTTTTTTTTTTTCACCTGGCTTCTCGGACATCACATTCTTCTGGTTTTCCATCTTCCTCCTTGGCTGCTCTTTTTATGCTCCTTTACAGTTTCTATGTTTTTCTCTGTTCCTAAATTTGGAGTGCTCCAAATTTAGTCCTTGATTCCATGCTCTTTCTGTATCTGCTGCCATGGTGACCTCATCCAGTAACATGACTTTAAATATTATCTCCACTTACGACTTGAAAAAAAAAGAGACTATATCCTTTGCCTGGATCTCTCCTCCAAACTTAAGAGTCATATATCCAACAGCCTATGTATACCTCCACTTGGATATCTACTAGACATCTCTCCTTTAACCTGCCTGAGACTGAAAATCCTGATCTTCCTCCCCAAACCCACTCCTCAGAGAATATTTCCCATCTTGGATCAATGTCAATTCCATCATTTCAGATGCTCAAGCCAAAACCCTTGGAGGCAACCTTCATTCCTCTTTCATAATCCATATCAAGCTGTCAGCAAATCCGACAGGTTTAATCTTCATAGCACATCTAGAATCCAACTTGTTCTCACTACCTCTACTATTGACATTTTCCTTCAACTCAAGATCATCTCACATGTGAATCATTGCAATACTCTCCTTATTGATCTCCCTGCTGTTCGCTTATAACCTATTATTAACAGAACATGTAGAATCATCTTTTAAAAATATAAATTAGATCATGTAATCCCTTTGCTCAAAATTATCCAATTGGCTTTTTTACTCAGAAAGAAAGGCGGAAGAAATTGCCCACGAAGCACTCCATAGCTTGCATTATGCACACAGTACTTCTCATTTCCTAGTACTTTGCTCTTGACGCATATCATTTTCCAAGAAAGTTGTCTGTAAAGGACATAGTACATGTCCAGTGGCAAGGGTTCTCATTTGCTTTATTCCCCTGATGCCTGGTATATAATAGATACCCAATAAATTAATTATACGAGTGGCTGAATTCTCTTGACTTTAAGTTATTGCTCCTACGTCTGCATCATCTTTCAATTACATATGCATTAAACGGCTGAGTCAGAATGTGGGCTCTAGATCGAGTGAACAGGACTCAAATCCTGATTCTTCCACTTGACCGTTGGTGTAGGTTTGTATAAGTTATTCTGTAACTTTGTAACTCCCAGTGCCTCATTTTTCTCATCCATAAATAAGGCGACATAAATAGCCAGAATGTAGAAAGTGTTCAACAAATGTAGACTATCATCATCATCACTGGTATCGTAAAAATAGTAACTATTATTAAAATCCAATGATGAATAAAATAAGATGAATTAACACACTAAAGACTTCTTGCTCTATTTTATTTCTATTGAAATTGAGCCCTTTATTACACTCCCTTGGTAAGTTTGCTTCCTATATACATCTAACTAGATTGTTGTCCAAAAAAATGTTCTCCATTTACTTCTAGAACCATAAAAAATTTGTCAGCTTTTTCAAAATAAAGTTAAAATGCTCAGAGGATCACTCCCTGGTTTGCTAGTTTAATATCCTATCAGAAAACAAAAGGTGTTAATTATACACAAATTTCTCTTAAAGAATGCCCATTGACTCCTTGTTAACACTTTTTTCCTTTTTAATATGACAAATTATAACATTTTAATACTCTTTATAATTCACACTTTTAGCTGTTTAAAGTGTATTCTAGAAGTTTCACTCTTGTCTCTTGTAGGTTATCCAGATCCTGTGTGGCCTGATGATTTCAAGCTTGGGGGCCATTGTGGTTTTTGCTCCTTACTCTTCCCACTTCAAGCCAGCAGTTTCCACCATTTTAATGTCTGGGTACCCATTTGTAGGAGCTCTGTGTGTGAGTAGAGTGGGGTCTCTAAAGGGGAATGTGCTTTATAAATGCCAAGAGGGTGCTAAGCCATGGAATAACTCAGTCCCAAGAGGTGGGGAGGCGGGAAAAGGAGGCTAAGGCTTCTGAAGTTCCCTCTGTTATCATCCCACATCATGTCTCTCCAGTTAGGAAGATCAGAGACAAACAGACCTGCCTTCCTGTGTGAGCATCCCAGGGAGTCAATGGTTAGGGCAGGAGGTAAAAGGGTAACAAAATGGGCATACAGTACAGCATTTCTTACCTGGTCTTAAAGCATACCTCTGGAAAAGTGGAAGATTTGTCATATCCTTCCTTGGGCCAATGGATTCCCTCCAGTTTAAGAATAATCCACCTGTCAGGTAGGGAGTAAAAAGGGACATTTTTAGAATAAAATGAGCACCACTGGTAGATGGCACACGTTGGCAGAGAATTAAATTAGCAACGGCAAAATTCCTGAGAACACACTCTTGCTGTGTGTTCAGAGGCAATCCTGAGCATTTGGCAGACTTCTTTGCTGCCTTCCATCTAATGGCTCATGAAGAAGGGCCCACTGAATTCCTTTCTTTAGACACCAGCCAGGGCCTAGTCATGCATCCCACAAAAGGCCACTTCTTTTCTATGTAGTATCCTGTACAAAGGAGAAAAAGGCGCACATTCTGGGTCTCTGTGTGGATACAGGCCTTGTGTGGACACAAACTGTGCAGTGATGCAAGTGGCCCGGCTCTTGCCCCTGAAACTTAGTTTGGCCTTGACTCTTCTGTCTACTCAGTGGTTATGGCTCCCATATTCCCTTAGGAAAGCCGGAATCAGCTCATGCTGGGCCCTCTTTGTCTGTGACTGCCCAACCCCGAAGACACAGCTTAACCAATGTTTCGGCTTCTCAGAACGCCCTCCTTCCACAAGCTGGACCCTTAACACTGCTAGGACCCAAAACTGACTTCTAGGGCTTTATGATGAAAGGCTCTTCACGTCTAACCCTGTACTTACCACTTTCCTCAACTCCCAGCCTAACTCAGGCCACTTAGATCAATGGCTTGAAGTCCATGTGTTTCTGTGCCTTGTGCCATCAGAGCCGCTCTCCTAAGTGCTTCTGCGGGCCGCCCTCCTCTCTCTATCCCTTCACGTCGTTGGCCTTTTCCAACCTCCTTTCTTTCAACCTTGTAATTTATAACACTCTCCTTTCTCCGTGTTTAACTACTCTCCAGGCCTCCTCAGCTCACAGTGGTTTTCACGAACATAAATCCAGTCCCTTGTGCATCTGCCTATTCTTCTAAGTCAATGTAAACTCCCTGAAGGCAGAAGTCAGGCCTACCAGTGTGGACCCGGGCCGTTCCTACAGTGTTATCTTCCTAAAAGGTTCACATTATTGACTGAGTGATCGATGCATTTCTACGAGACAAATGGACTGATCGTTTTTTTCTCTTTTCTGAGCAGTTTGCCATTTCCGGATACCTCTCAGTTATCTCGGGGAAAAAATCACCTAAGCCCTTTGTAAGTATAAGAACCATGACTCTCAGCTGGTTGGAATAAAAGGAGCCTCAGAGTTAATTCTTCCAGATCAAAATCTCCATTTGACAATTTAGGAAAATCAGGCTCAGGGCAGGTGAGGGAGCCCAAGTTCTCCCCACTGGCCGAACCAGAGTAAAGCCCAAATTCCTTGCCTTCTAGACCACCACTCTTCCCCCTACAAAATGGTGCTCCTGGATCTTATTCCAGGCTTGAAGGAAGTTTACTTCAGTTGCTTAAACAGTGGAAGAAATTGAAATATACAAGGACTCTTTCAGACTTATCTTGGCTCTGCATAGGGTAGTCGAGCCTCTTGGCTAGAGACTAGAGATCCCTTTTCTATAAAAAACCTGCCTCGTAATGAGTTAATTTCTCTAAATGGCAGGATCAGAGGCGGAGGTGTGTAGGCTTAGATCCTGTGGCTATCTCCTCCACCCACTCGAGAAGGAGGAATTATCAGACTGCAGCCGCTTTACTGACAGAGGTCAGGAACCCGGGGTGGGGGTGTGTGTGTGTTGCGGGGGTGGAAGCAGCTGAGGTCTTTGGTCTTCTCCATAGCTGCCTTTCCCTCTACCCTGCTACACACCCACGGAGACGACTTAGTGAAAAACCACATCCTGACTCAGAAGATCCAAGGTCTGGTTAGCCACGGATGAGGGCACATAAGATGTTGTACGAGGCTGGCATACGCCCCTGATGCTTAAAGCTAGAGCTGAACCCCAGAACTGGTGGGCAGAGTTTTGAGGCGTTCATAGCATTGAATGAAGTCAGAATTCTGGACTTGGAATTACGAAACCTATACTTCTGTCCCAGCTCTGTCACTGACCCATCTGTGTGCCCATTCCTTTCTTCTCTGGGTTTCAGTTTTCTTCCTGACAGACTGAAGGTTAACATGTGGATCTCAGAGGTGGCTTCCCATGTGTCCTGAATACACTAAAAAGGAGATCTATACTTGGGGTGACCTGACGCAATGTGGGCTCCACATGTGGGTCGCAGGACAGTATGTGAGCTCATTGCCCACGTGACATCTCTGGGCAAAGGTGCTTCCCGTTCACTCTGTTCTTGCTTCAGGGGCTCAGCACTTGAGGCCATGTAGCTCCCAGGCCGAGGGAGAAGAAGGCAAGGCAACCATCCTCCCCAACACACAGCATCCTACAGCGATGCTCAAACAGAAAAGGCCATGTGCTGGGAACCTGGCCCAGAGCCTGGCACAGCAGTGTCCTTGCAGAAGAATCATACCCTGTGAGAGCCCTTTTCCCAAAAATGTAGAATATGACCCGAGAGGGAGTGTGGTGAACGGAGTTCTCATAGGTCTATCTACAGTAGGTATTCCAACTCCTCCAGCTTGCTTCTGTCTTTTCTCTGAAGCTGCTGCTTTATGGAAGGGGACGCCAAAGACTGGTCTTCCCAGGAGGGGCTAAAGGCCATATTCTAGAAGCCCTTAAAGCAAGAGAATGATTCTAAGGCTGTCGAGGAAGTTGAAGGAGCTTTTGACAGTGGCCTGAGCACTTCCACCTCTGTCCTGGGTACTGCGGAGAGCCAAGGAGCCAACGAGCCAACACCCCTGCCCCTAAGCAGGAAATATTCATAGATTCTCTCATTTAAGAAGCATTTTCTAATTATATCAGGTGATGAACTAGATAGTGAGGAGGGACACAGACATGAATGGATCACCGTCTGTGCCCCCCAGGAGTTTAGAGATTATAGGGGAAACAGACCTGGGAAAAACTGCTGCCAAGCAATGGAGGGAGAGATGACCGAATCACACGTTGCTTCTGTGATGAGATCCCCAAACAGAATCTCTCTTCCAGGCCACGAGCAGCCTTATCTCAAATGCAGTGAGTTCTGCGGCCGCCGGAGCAAGCCTCTTCCTCCTCGCTCACGGCCTGGTAGCCCTGAGGACTGCCTCTCAACTGTGTGACTCAGAAAAGGAGCATCTATCTTCACTGCCTTATTCGGAGTACTATCATTCAGTATATGACGTCACGGACTGTCTCCAGGCTGGCGTCAGTCTAACGGTAAGTACTTTCAGATTGACTACCCTGTCATGTGGAATCTCGGTCTCCCCTTTGCATCATCTTGCTTATTCAGGGGTCCCTCCTAGCCCCGTTGATCTGAATGCCTGGAGGGGGACAGCGTCAAAAATATAATAAATTATGGTTGAAAGAGGCCTGTCAGCAGACTGCACGGTATGGGGGACGCTTTGTGCAAAGTCAAAAAGGGAAATCAGGAGGGATACGGCAGGACATCCAGGTAGTAGTCTTTCTTAAATAACACAAATTCCATTCTCAACAGGTTTAACCCTCAAAGTGTCCCCTTTGTTGAGCAGGCTTTTATTTTCCCTTGGCACAGGCAAAAATATCCCTCTTTATTTGAATTTCATTTGATTTCAGATTAATGTAACCTACATTAACTTAGGTACAAAACTTGAACCGGAAGCTCAAGCATAATTATTGTACTTTGATCCAACGGGGCTGGCAGGGAGTGAGAGGGAGATGGGAGATGGTCCACCAACAGATTCGACTCCTGGCAGAAACGCTAATATCTCTGAGCAGCATTTTCTTGCCTCTTTTTCCCCCAACGTGATGGTCACCACCTGTTGTTGAAGGTGACGATCTTGGCTTAGTAAATCCTCTGTATATAGGCTTGTGGTTTTAAAACCATAAACTCTGGCCCTTTAAGGAGAAAGATTTCTTCCTTTGTGACTTTTAGTAGGGGCCGAAGAGATAAGAGCAACATCTCGTATTCTTTCATATCTACGTGTCTCATGAATCTCAGAGACTGTGCACAAGTTTATGGACTCACAGCCTTTTGTGGGTCTGCTCATGTGACCCAGAGGTTGTCAGAAGCAACCCGTTTGACCAGGAGCTTGAGGACACGGCAGAGCATAGAGATCCATCTGGTTAGAAACCAGCAGGAGGAAGCCCAGGGGATCGCATAACCCTGGTGCAGGGTAGACATCAGGCAAAGCGGTGAAGGTGGGAGAAGCATCCTTCCCACTGGGATAGCTGGGGCTTAATTAATGAAAAGTAACCTCAATACATCAAACTACCTCCCAATCTCAGATAACTGGTGCCAAAGAGAACTTCCTATAACGCCAGAAGAATATTGTACCATGGCAGACTAAGCGGACTCCAAACGTTTACCTTTTCTTATTAATACAAAGATAACATGGGCAAAAGTAACGAATTAAGAAATATTAAGAATATATATCCAAGGTTGGAAGAAGGAAGAAAGGGAGTGTGGAGGAAGAAAGAAATCAAGGAAGGAAAACATCTTAGGTTTCAGAAGCTAAGAAAAAATTTAAAGCCAGGTAACCAAACAGGAGCTGGGACTGGGAAACCAGGGAAGCTGGACAGGAACACACTGTGTTCGAGGCTGGGATCGTGGTGTTTTAATGCCTATGACAGGATTTGAGGTTCTGCAGGAAGTAGGGAGCTCACGCTGAGTGCCCTGCACAAACATTAAAAGCCGAGACTCAATATTTATACTATTTATGAAAATAAGACAGGATGAATTCTGCCCAACATCTCAAGAAGCTTCCAGAAAGTCTACCATAAAGGGTTCTAGGATCATCTCACCAAGCCTTATGCAGGTCAGGTATCCAAATTCCAAAATTACATATAAAATAGAGGAACTACAAATAAAAGGATTGACTTAAAAAAAACTATTCCTGGATCTGTGACACTCCTAAGGTTCTATCAGACTCAGACCTAGAACTACCATCTAGGGAGATATCCATAAACCCAATTCATGAGTTTCCTACATATCAAAGAATCCCCCCAATACCATCCACATGCTAAAATTATCTAAGAATAAAAATATTTTGAAAAACACAAGAAAAAATAGGGAACTGCAGCAAAAGGAGCAAACATGAAAGTCAGTTGCCCAAGAATTAGAGATTATATAATAAGTTTGAAAAAGCTATAGTGCAAATATATTTTAAGTGATTAAAAACATGAAAAAAGAAATTGGAACCAAAATGAAGGAACATGGCAGTAAGAAAAGAACAAGCGGATCTGAAAAAGAACTGAATAGTATGATTAGAAATGAAAATAATAACCTTGGACATTAAAAATTGAGCATACCACTTAAATACCAGATTCAACATATATCCAAAGAAATCAAGAGTGAAATGAAAATGTAGGCCTGATATAGTCACACAGAACACAACATGTAAGATAAAAATTTGGAAAATATGAAGAGTCACAACATGGAGGATACAGTGATGAGAAAAGGTTCAACGCACATCTAATCGGAGTACCATTGGGATGGCATGGGAGAGAGGGAGCATGCCCAGAGGAAAAAAAGCGGAAAATATCTCAGAATTTAAAAAAGATATGGGATTTCAGACTAAAGGAATGCACCGAGACCATTGCAGGATAAATAAAAACAAATCCACACCTAGCAACACCATGATAATAAAAAGCACCGAAGGGGTGGGGGGAAGACAATAATAAAAGCCACTAGACATGAATGAAGGATTGCTGTTACGTCAGAATGTGGGTTGCCTAGGTTCTGAGGTGAAATCCTTACTGCTTATGCCCCGTCTCCTGGTAAGAGATCCAAGAGATACAGCAGAAAAGGGAATTAAATGATTATCTCTGTCTCTTATACTCCCCACTGCTAGAGCCTTTATTCTCCAGTCTCCTCTCAGTCAGGCATGAGGGCTAGCCTATGCCACCAACTGTCCCCGTCCTAATTCGCAGGGTGTGCTGGTGGTGATGCTTGCTTTCACCGTGCTGGAGCTCTTACTGGCTGTGTACGCTTCGGTCTTTTGGTGGAAACAAGTCTATCCCAACACCTCTGGGGTGAGTACTCTGACACGGCACCTAATACGTGCTGGGTCCTGAAATTTCAGCTACGATGATCCAGGTCTAAAAAGTGGAGTCGATTATCGGTCATGAGATACATGTGGAGGGCAGCTTTAAAAAAAAAAAAAAGTTATTTAAGTACAGTTGGTATACGATATTATATTAGTCACATTAGTTTCAGGTGTAATACATATAGTCGACATTTTTATACCTTAACAATGTGATCACCCATCCCACCGATTCTATAATTGTGTCGTTGCGTAAACTTATCACAATATCACTGACCACTGAGAAACAGTTCAATTAATGGTGCCGAGTGGGCAGCAAACCAGTTAGAGGACTGCTTAATATGCAGCCGTTTAGATGGCTTCAGGAATCACCCGACCCAGCCCCTTACAAAAGAACCGAGACTTGGATAAAATCACATGGAGAATGAATGATAGACTAATGGGCCGAGAATGAGAACGTGCATGTCCTCATTCTTGTCACGAACAGAGAGTCTCTCTAGAGAGTCCTCACAGCCCAGTTCCCTTGCTGATGTGATGAGATTTTCCTGGGACATCTGTGTTCTGTTTATGTTTTCCTGTATTCTTGCCAACTTCCTCTTAGATCTTGAGATTGCAATTTTAAAATACATTTTTTTTCTCCTAAAAGGGAAATTTTTAAAGAGACTTAATAAATTATGATTCAATTATGATCTTATTTAAAAAAATGGTATCATAATTAGCAGATCAGAGAATGGCATTTGTTTGAACTAATACTGAGGCAATTATATGTTACAGTAAAGTTGGAAGAGCAAATAGGGCACAACATTTTGAGGGAAATGCATTGTAAATGTGTATCCAAAAAGCTTCCAAAATCAGAGTTAAGAAACTTTTAACAAATTGTATCTTTTCTAGAGTGTGTTTTCCTTGCTGAAGTCACAAGATCATATCCAACATGTCAAAAAGAGTTCTTCAAGGTCATGGATATGAGTAACTCTTGGCCTCAGAGGAAGACGGAGGAGAAACTCAGTGCTCATGGCAAAGTGTGATTAAACTTTCTTAAAATTTCAGCTACTTTAAACACTGAAAGAAACTTCAAAAAAAAAAATAGCTTTTGTTTTGTACTTGGGTCAGTCTGAGTAATTTTATTGCTCTTGAAAATAATTTCCAAAAAGCCTGGGTTAGTAAAATTTTTATTAGCTAGTCTTCCAAAATGGTTATTAAACTTTATAAATTTCTTTGGGTATGCTGAACAGAAAGGATCCATCGATCCATAAATAAGAAGAGAAAATGTGCCCTCTTGCACAAGTGTGAATCGTCCAAGTTGTGCGACTTGCAGGCCCTGTTTCTGTCTTATTTTCACACACATATTGCTTAAATATTAGATATTAGGATTGCAAGAACATTTTAATCAAAACTACTTTAAAAATGGATGGCTCCATTTTTGTCAATTGAATGAATTAAATTTGTCAATTAAATTTGTCTCAATGTTCTGTCTCATTTAATGACTTTATTCTTAAACATCTGGATTAAAAGATTATAATTAACCACAATGCTTTCTCCCATCTAAGTGCTAGATCAAATAAGAAATTAGACATATGGAAATATCATCTTTACTACTGTATTGGAGTAAACAACGTGACCTACGCAATAAAGAAGTTCCTAATACTGCCCATTGTCTAAGTCTTGGGTCTTCGGTCTTGTCCCAGAGGAGAATGTGAGACAGAAATGCACACATACATTTTCCAAATGACATGTACAAAATGGTCATAGAGGTCATACCCATCATAGCCCCTAAAGGAAAATTAGAGAAGAGACAAATAAAAATTGTAGTAGATTCAGACAATGGAGTACTATACAGCACCATGAGTGGACAAACTACAATTCCTACAGCCACAGAGATAAATCCCACAAACAATGTTCAGGGGGAAAAGAAATCCACGTGTAAAAAAGTACGTATTATATGATTCCATGTATGTAAAGTTTAAACACAAGCAAAACTAATATACAGTGTTAGAATCAGGAGCGTGGCCACCTTTGGGGGTAATAATTGGAAGGGGACCCAAAGGACCAGTGGGTTCCTGGAAACGTACTCTGCCTTGATCCGGACGCTGGTGCCGTGCATGTATATGTTTTCTTGTTTCCATGCTATAATGGATAAAAAACGTTTTTAAATAGTTAAGTTTGGCCTCTTGCCCAACTAGTTAATGAGCCATTCCTTACTTCCCCATCGTCGAAGTCCTTTAAAACAAAAACCCTGGAGCCGCCCTGACTCTTCTATGTCTTTCACACACCATATCTAATCTATCATCAAAACCCGCTAGCTCCGGCTTCGAAATCTATCAAGTCTGATTAACTTCTCGCCACCTCATAGTAGACAGTGGGATTTTTTTCAAAATCTAAAATCGGATCATGCCATTTCTCTGCTCGAATCCATTCCATTCCATTCCAAATAAAAGCTAGTGTCCTTAAGCGTCCTCCTACCCACATTCTCATTTCTTCTCTGCTCTTCTCTCTGCCTTCTCTTCCCTTGGCTCCCCCTACTCCAGTCGCACTGGCCCCACCTGACATCCTTCTTCAGGAACGTCACACTTGCAGGCCCCCCCATCCGGATCGCTTTTCTTGCCATTATTTCCATTGCTTGCTTTCTCACTTCTTTCACGTTTTTCTTCAAATCTTTCGGCCTCATTGAAACTTTCCCCCACCAGCCTACATAAAATTATCACCCTCTTTCTCCCTTTACATGTGTAATTTTTTTTTTTTTTAATCCATAGTACTTACTACTACCTGACAAACTGTATATTTTATTTGCCTGTTTGGTAATTGTGCGTCTACCCCCATTAGTCTGGAAGCTACATTAGGACGCTCACTGCTTTTAAGAAATCACTCTATTAGAATGCAGAGTTAAATTTGTTCTACTGTTTGAGTGTTTTCAAGTGAGTGTGTGTGTGTGTCTGTGTGTGTGTGTGTGTAAATATTTTAAATTGGGGGTGGAGGACCTTTGAGATTCCTCTTTATCCCATAAGTCAAGCAATGCAATAAACGTATATTTTACTCGGGATCTATTTATTTGTTTGTTTTTTTGCTGTGAAGAGAAAGTTTCTTCAGAGTATCTGGAGAATTATATTCAGAATTACCTGGAATAATATTCCAAACTGATAGAAGTTGCAATAAAAACACTACATCATGCATCTATAACTCTCCGCTGCTCCCCCCACAGTCCCGGCCTGGCTGTCTTTCACAAATGGCACGACCATCCATCCACTTAGTTTCTAGAGTCAGAAATCTGGGAGTCATTCTTAGCTCCTTCCTTTGCTTCACTACCACATTCATCTGGGGAAAACGATGAGGCAAAAACTACTAGCAGGAAGGTCAAGTAAACTCATGGCAAGCAAAGGAGCGAATGGTTTCCACCAAGTCCAAACAGACATTGCCACTCTTTAAAGCACAGATTAGAACTCTGAGTTCTCACTCTTGATTTTTTAAAAAATGCATCTTTCCCAAAAGGTAACCCAAAATTAGTTGGCAGAGCCACACATACCTAGACCCTTATCACAAGCCCTCCAACTCTTCCTCCGATCTTAATCCACTCTGTGAGTCAGTCTCCTGGTTGGCCTGATGAAGTAAGTAGTCACGTGGAGGAGACAAAGAACTGAAGGCATCCTCTAGGATCTGATGGCAGCTTCTAACCTCCATCCAGGAAAACCTAGAGCCCTTAGTCATACAACCATAAAGAAATAAATTCCATCAACTGCCTGAACATGCTTGGAAGTGGGTTTTCCCCAGCGGAGCCTCCAGATGAAAATACAGCCTGGTGGACACCTTGATGGCAGCCATGTGAGACCCTGAGCAGAGGTACCCAGCTAAGCCCTGCCTCAACTCCTGATCAATGAAAGCTCTAAGATAATAACTGCGTGTCGTTTTAATTGTGATAGTTACATGGCAATAGGAAATTGAATTGCTGCATGGAAAAGGGAAGAGGAAAAGCCAAGTTCAAATTTCAGCTCGACCACGGCACTAACAGTGGTCCTCAATTATCCTTGTCTTTAACGTGGGTATGATGATAGCACCTATATCCCAAAGTTGTTGGGAGGGAAACACGTTCAGAAGGATACATTTAATAAGGGAGTAAATATCTCATTTTATGGAGAGCAGCACTAACACATACTAAATGGTGAATATTCTTGTCAAACTCAAGTCTTCTGCAGGTTGAGAGTAAGAGGGAATACTATTTCCACTTACAGATGCCCCATAAAGATTCTGTCATTTCGCCTCTCTGTGGAATAACCTAGTTCCTGCCCTCTGGTCTGAGTCCACAGGTTGAAATATTAGAAGCTTGAAAGTCAGAAGCAGGGGGAAAGGCAGAGGCTAACAACTATAAACTAGCCGAAATGATAAAATGAGATGCCTTTTGAAACAACCAAAGCAGATGAAATTATAAGCTTCTCCTGCTTAGTATCAGTAACCCATTCCTAAAAATAAGGGATTCTGCATGAAGACAGTTCTTTTCCATCATTTTAAAGGAAAAAATTATGTACAATTATTAGGCGACCCAAACTTCCATCCAACTTCCTAAAATGTAAGTAAAAGGCAGTAAAAGATCTATATATGAGTAGAAACTAACACGTTAGATTATAAATTGTTTGAAATACTGTAATTCCTTGATTACCAAATAATCACAGCGGTTGATAAAAAAACAGATGCTTTGTGTGTAGCATCAGTTGTGGCGGCCGCTGGTGTCAGCACTGTAATGGGTGCACTTCCCTTTTGACTGCACGGCACGCTTTTCAAAACTTCTCCACGTGATTCTGATGGTTTATCGGTTCTGCTTAGAATTTAAACACAGACTTGACCTGTACTGTTTTGCCTAAAATGTTGCGTTGCACTTCAGGCACATAAATTAAAATTTACTTGAATAAACATTGGCAGAAAAATGTTGTATTGAGAAATAGACACGTTTTCTGAAGTTTGGATGTGATAAACAAAGGCATTCTATCCAAACAACAACAATAACAGGACACAGTCTGCAATTGTTTCTATACATCAGTGGTTCTCAACCTGGAATAATTTTGCTCCCCCAGAGAGCAAATGTGGCAACGTCTGGAGACAATTTTGGTTGTCACAACTGGGGACGTGCTACGAGCATCTACGAGTAGAGGCCAGATATGACGCCAAATATGCCACAACGCACAGACTTCCCGACAGCAAAGAATTATCAGGTCTCAAATGCTGGCAGTGCCGAGGCTGAGAAACCCTGCTACATCCACGGGTGCCACAAACTAGAGAATACACAAGGTAATATTTGTATATATTGTTTGGTTTTGTGAAATCATTTGCCTTTATGATATAACAGTTAAAATCATAACACATATAAGAATCTAAAGGATTAACATGGCGAGCAAAATTCCAAAAAGCACTTGATGTTCTTTTAATAGTATTTGCATAGTTGAAACCAGGAAGGCCTTGAGTAGAATTAGTTTTACACGTCTTTCTGAAAGCTAAAATATGCTCTATTAAAGGGGCAACTACATCTGGTCCTATAGTTTCCTAACGACTGATTTTCATACCACAAAGGGATATGATTAAACAATATGTGAGACAATTCATCCACTACAAGAGGGAAACTTCTTTCGAAAGAGGATAGAAGCGTGGTTGAAGGCAAGCAACACAGATTTTGGAGACAAACATGCGGAGTTGGACTCCTTCCGCTGTCCCTTAGTATGTGGCCTCGGGCGCTTAACTGGACCTCAGTGTCGGCACTGCAGAACTGTTAACAGAATACATGTCCACGCCTGCTATGACAGAACACCTTCTGCAGAGCCCGGAGCGCACTGGAGAGTCCGTATGTTCTAGTTCCTTTATATCTCACGAACATAGGTACTGGCATTTGTTTTTATGTACACCATCTATTTATTTGCGTTTACTCTCACTCTATAAACAAATCGACAAGTCTTCTGGATAACTGGATCCTGCACCAGGAAAACAGGGGGCTGGATATGCTCTAGAATTCTAAGACTCTATGACTCAACGACGGTGATTCTGTGGTTCTAGTACTGAGGACGGTCATCCCCAGGGGCTCATTGCTAAGGACTCCATGTGAGACTGATGGAAGACCGTGATTTTTGGCGGCGATGTTCACTCGCTCGCCCTTTTAACAGAGTTTTGCCATTGAATCATGGAGTCATCATCATCCGAGTCCAAGAGATCTACCCACGTCATCACCATACAACCAAATGAAACTGTGCTGACTGCACTTCCTTATAGGCCTCAGAGCTCTCTGCTGGATTTCCTGAAGGGAGAGCCCAAAGTCTTGGGGGTAAGTCCTTACCCCCTTCCCCATCCCTGTGGGTCTTCCTGGGATGGAGAACAGACCTTTTTTCTCCATATACGACCGCTTTTCAGGAAGGGAACTGATCTCCCTTCCCCCTTCACTTTTCGTCTACAATGTATCTTTCTTGATTAATCATGACTACTTTTAAGTCATTTGCTTATTCAAATCATTGGATCATCAGTAGAAGAGACCACGTGTCGCCATTAATACCATTTTCCTAGATTTTGATAAACAAGAGAAAGAAAACCCCACATGCACAGTTTGCCACATATCTTTGAAATGCTTCCGAGGGTTTCTTCACCTCTGAGAAACAGAATATTTAACTGTAATTACTAACACCCCTAACTCTGAGGAAATCCTAGGGCTGTTTCATGAGGAGTTAGGACTGGCCTTTGAACCCTAGAAGAGGGGATGCAGGAAACTGGGGTAACTTTTCCAAATATTTTTTTTGAAGAGGTGACCTCGGGATGTGGTAGCATCTCCCTTGGAGCTAAAAGCCATTAGCGATTCAGCTTCCCCTTTGGGCTGTTACAGACACTGGAAGTTCTTCGAAACCCATATTTAAAACTCTGTAGTGAGCCACAAAGTAGGCATCCACATAAAAACAATTTCAGTCATAAACATACCTAGAAGGGAGCCATGCGTACAGCCTCCATCCATGGTACAAAGAGTGAAATCGCTACTAGGGGCATGGTGACACAGAGGTGTGGCCTGGGGGAGAACCCAGGATGCCAGAGGAGAAGCTCTGTTGGTGGTACCGACGGGAAATAATGTAAAGGTGAGTATCCTCAAGGACCTTGCAGTCTCGGAGTAGCGTCAGACATGTACTCGATTTCGTCCGATACAAGATAAACTGGGAACACCAGGAGACTCTGTAAGTAGAGAAGGAGGAGGGTAAAGGATTTGAACCGGAAGGACCCAGGCAAGCACGACGAGGAAAGAGACACTGGGCCTTCTGAAAATCTGAGAGTGGCTGGTTAATGGAAAGCAGAAGGCATGCAGATGGAGGGAGGTGTGACATAAACTTAAGAGGGATGCGCAAGGGACCTGGGAGTCGGCTCAAAGAGGCTCGGGCACTTGTGACCTCATGCACCCATTTGTCTCCTCACAGGCCATCCAGATCCTGCTTGCCCTGATCATTGCGGGCATCGGAGCTATATTTGCATTTAATTTCTTCCATTTCTCCCAAAGATTTCCACTCGTTTTCCTCACAGGATACCCATTCTGGGGAGCGTTTATTGTGAGTACCGTTGGTTAGCAGCTTTAGAGAAATTAGTATAAAGACTGGTTTGAACTGCTTCACATCCTGGGATAATGGATCCCAAGACTATTGTCCCCGAGAAGACCAGTCCCTTCCAGGGGAAGGACATATGACTCCGTTTGGTCACTGCACTACCATCGACATGGATTTAACTACCTGTGGGTGTTCAGTGTTTAAACGTTTCTAAAGGCCTTGTGTGTAGAGTAAGGCACGGGCTCCTTTGTACCAATCTGGGAGGTGAAATGGGTAAATATCCAGCTTTCTCCTTTGCAAATAGGAAAACTGGGTTTGAGAGTAGGTGATAACTTAAACATATCTAGCTAGCACTCACAGAAGCACCAACTCTCATAGCTTAAGGAGAATTTTGAGATGATGACTATGGTTCAACCCCTTTATTCTCTGCAGAGACAATTTTATGAGTGACACTTACGTAGTGATTTATAGAGCCATAAATAAAATTATAGTGCTATTTCCATCCAACCCCACAGCCGTGGTTCCTGTTCCCGTGTCACCATTTTTAAGGGGAGATTCATTAGCGCTTCCCCACTAGAACATACACTCCCAAGAGGCAATGGCAGTGGCACAAAATGAAGCCCAAAATATAGGCTGGAACCAGGTCATGCCGGCCCTCGTGGTCACATCAAGAATGTGGACTCTTAATATGCGAGCAAGGGGAATCCACTTTAAAGAGGGTAGTGACATTTGAAAACTGATCTCTAAGATGTCATTGCATTTTCTGAGTGCGAAATGAATTCAAGGATGGTAACGGCAAACCCAGGAGAGACAGTGGGTGGGGGCGGGCTGCAAGAATCCAGGGGAGGAAGGACGATGCCCTGAACGAGCTGGGCAGCAGTGGAGATAAGTGAGACGGACAGCCGTGACCGTGACTTGGAGATAGAACTCATTTGACGGTGTGCCGATGTGGGCAAGGAACTGGTGGCATCTATCAAAAGCAACTTTCCCATCTCCGCATGTCACCTTGAGGTCCTTGGACATCAAGCTGCAGATGTCCTCGAGGTCCAACACCAATTCCCAAAGGAGAGGATCCAACCCCAGAACATTACAAAAAGTCAGTGACTCCACTCTGGGTGACAGAGCTCTCGTTCTCCCTGGGTGGTACTGGAACCTTCATATTCCAGAGTAAGAAGCAGCTGAGCTAAGTACATTAGACTCCGGCCGCCACAGCAGCCTCTAGAGAGTTCTGCCCTAAGAAGGTCTCCCCACAAATGCTGAGAGCAGACACAGTTCGCCTTTCCCTTTTCCAGGCCCTGAGTCCAGGATTATCTGTCTTGTTGGAGCCCAGCCAGGCCAGACATCTGAGTAGTATGTTTTGGACCTTAAAGGTACCACTCCCAGCTGACCTTGGCAAAGAGGCCTTGTTCAATGCCGAGCACATGCAATGCGGTATTTTTTCTTACATCAACGTGTACCCTCCTCCTTCCCTGATGCTCAGGTGGTTTGGGAGCTTCAGACATATATAGATTACAATTTCATCTCCAAAGGGAATTATACTGTAAAGTGGTCAAATATGTCACCTCTTAACATTTATCCCTTTTCTTCTTTAAAGTTTATTATTACAGGATTCGTCACAGGACTCGAAGGAAAGGAACACAGTCTGGTAAGCCACCTTTGTGACTTCTTTATAATTTTAAATCGTCTACTCGCTTTACATCATCTTTGTGCACGAAGCCTTTAGTGATGAAGGATCTCCCAGGAAAGTCTTTACACATCAAATTTGCAGTTCAAGTCATTCCTTATCCGTCAATGTCACCATCAGCCCTACATCTTTCCACTGGTTCCTGTTTCCCCGGCCAAATAAACGGAGAGTTCCTTATCGGAGACCCTCCTACATTCCTCTAACTCGACGGTTCTTAACTGTGAGCACGTTTACTCCCCCTGCCCCACCCCAAGAATATGTGACAATGTCTAAAGACATTTTCGGTTGTCACAGTTAGGTAGAGGAGTACTATTGCCACCCAGTGGGTAGAGGCCAGGAATGTTTCTAAACTTACTAAAATGCACAGGACAACCACAAAACATTACCTGGCCCCAAATGTCTATAGGGCCAAAACAGAGAAACCCCGCTCTAACTAAAACCCATCCCAGGACCCCAGTAATCCTCCCTCCCCCAGCACCGCCACCAACGGAGGCTTTTCTTCGTAGCTTGCCCAGATTCTGGAGAAAAGAGTCTGGCCTTGACGCCAGATCATTCTAGGGATGAATCAAGGCTATCACTCATTGCTGTCTCAACTTGAAGGTAAAAGTACCTACTTCGAAGGATTATTTTGAGGATTTAATAAGTTGTTACATATAAAAGATGTGCCAATGATGCTTAAACGTTTGTACTCCTTTCTAATCACTTTTTTTTTTCTTAAGGCCCTGGAAATGTGAGCCTTCTCTCAAAGCCATTTTAACCTGTTTTTATGGCCCTCTGCCAATTTCCCATAGGGACAGCTACAAGTCATGGTTGGGGGGGAGGTGGATGAAATTCTGAGGGGACAAATGCTCCTATGTCTCTCTACCTATGGACATAATTGCAGACAATGCAGATGAAGCCCCAGATGCTGTTCTCTCTATACTGACTTCCTCTCAGAGCTAAGGGGTACACTAACAATAAGGCAGGCCTGCCCCCAATTCACTGAGAGTTGTGCAGATGAAGGCAGGCAAGACCTCACGGGGGCAGGAGCACTCACTAAACTGGGCATCAGAAAATCCAGCCCTCCATCACAGCTCCTGACCCAACTGCACTGCGGGATCGCTCACAATCACTTAATCCTTGAGCCCTAGGTACCTGCAATGTGGGGATAACAGGTGATCTGCCTACATCACACACCTGTAATGAGGATCAGATGAAGACTAAGGCTGGGCATATCCTTTGTAAACTACAAAGCACCATACACATGACGGTCTGCTGGTTTAGAGACTCTAGTCCATTAAATGTCCTATGGGAGACAAAACAGAGCCTTGAATGAGAGAAGGACCGGAGATGGAGAGAAATGGCGTTATCCATGTGCCCCTGTGCGTTCTCTACCAAGATGCCTGTTTGTAATACAGACCTGTGTTTGGGGTAAACGTTAAGTCATAGGTATAATTCCAAGTCCTGCTGCACTGAGCCACGAGCTGCTCCTGGAGGGGACAGGCTGTGTAAGAGCACCATAGGATGGGGTAATCGAAACAGGGACCTTCCATGTTGGAACACTGAGATAAGAAAGGAAACCTATACACCCCAGTCCAAATTCATTACCATCTGTAATATGTTGGTGACTTGGTTGGTTATTGTTTGAATCCCCTTGGGGACTGGATCTGAGCCACATGAAGGCAGGACCTCATCTAGTCTGTTCATCTTTGTGTCCCAGGGGCCCTAGTGCAGTGCCTGGCATATAGTTGGTGAACACAAAATATTTATTTAAAAAAGTGAATAAAGAGATACTGCCCTAACATTAGGTGACATCATTCTCCTTTTAAAGAACAGAAATTGAGAGTCCAAGGGATCAGTTACCTCATATAACTAATTTTGAGTTCACTAGGACTCAAAATCAGGTCTAATTACAAGGCCAAGGTAGTTCTAACGAGCTATTCTGCTTATAGATTATGAAAGGTGGTGCGCTAGGATATACTGAGCATTTTCTTAAGCTCTGACCATACAGCACCCTTCTCTACGTGTTCTCTTTCTTGGCTCCCTGGCTCGTTCTAACACTTGGATTGTCTTCTGACTTTGATGAATCAGGATGTAACTTAAAAGCCTCTGGGGGAGTACTGACCTGATCGGGCAGTCACCCTGGACAGGTATCTGGAAAGATAAAAAGCACTAAGGATTTCTTACCGAGTATTTTTGGTTTGGTTTGGTTTTTATTTATTGTATTACTTTTTAAAAACTATTTTCCAGGAACAAGGTGTCAAGACCCTGAACGTCATCAGTGCCTTGGTTGCGGTAGCTGGGATTGCTTTAACCCTTATCAGCTACAGATATCAGCACCAGTACTGCGAGGCGCCTTCCCTGGAAGGAATATGTGTTGTAGGTAGAATCTTTTTCAACGTAAGTGGTCTTATTCTTTTTGTTTGTTTACTTTTTAATTTTTATGTAAATTTATTTTCCAATTACAGTTGACAATATTATTTTATATTAGTTTCAGGTGTATAGCATAGTGGTCAGATATTTATATAATTTATGAAGTGATTTCCCCTCAATACATCTTGTACCCACCTGGCGTAAGTGGTCTTATTTTTATACCGTGAATCTGTATAATCTTATCTGAACTATATTCACGACGCATTGCTTCATTAATTTTGATTCCAATAATCAAAGTTGTGTCAGCATTTGAACTGACTGTTAAGAAGCATATTGTGATTCAGGAGCCACAGTCTCTGGATCTGAATCCTGGTTTTGTCACTTATAAGCCTGTGACCTTGGCCTAAAATTCCACATCATCTGAACCTCTCTTTTCCTCATGTGGATAATGAAGATAATAAGAATATCTATCTCACTGGGTTGTTGTTAGAACACTACCCGGCATGGTGTTAACAGTCAACAGGTTTTAGCTATTACTATTAGTATTGATGTAGATTGGGTTACATTTTATCTTTTTAGCATTAATGAGGAACAGATCTAAAAGTTTACTCAATTAATACTAAAAACAAAATACAGTGGGAGAAGGTGTTTAAGCCACTTAATTATAAAATATTTTCATAATTTTAGAAGATAATTTTATATAAATGTAGCGGTTTTATCTATTAAAACAGAAGAGATGTATCTTTACCAGGAAATATAATTATAGGTGTAATTTTAAGTATTTATGTAAAAAGTATTCAATGAGATTATTTTTACTCATGTCGATAATTCCAAAAGGCCTTTCCCCCTCCTTCCACAAGCAAATCCTGGGGTTTCATTCTATTTCTCCCAGCCGCATCTTGAAGGCTTTGGTCCTAGAATGTTAATGAGATTTGGTCCGTTTGGATAGAAGTGAAGTGAAATTATGAGAAACTGTCTCCCCCAAGGAAGAGGAAAGGAAAAGAGCTATCAGTTACTGAAGACGAGGTCTTACTTAATCCTCACAATCACCTATTACAGTGAGTCTAAGTCTACGGCCATGCCACCCTGAAAAAGCCTGATCCCATCTGATCTCAGAAGCTAAGCAGGGTTGGGCCTGGTTAGTACTTGGATGGAAGACCACCTAGGAAGACCAGGTGTTGTAGGCGTAAACAATAAAAAATAAAAAAACAAGAGATTGTAAGCTGACAAGTTCTTTGCAATCTGTGAAGTCAACCAAGGGTTGCCTCGCCTAAAACTAAAAATAAAAAAAAGGAAGGAAGGAAGGAAGGAAGGAAGGGAGGAAGGAAGGAAGGGGAAGAAGGGGAATGACAGCCACAATGTTTGGCAGTGATAAGGAAGGAAGGAAGGAAGGAAGGAAGGAAGGAAGGAAGGAAGGAAGGAAGGAGAAAGAAGAAAGAAAGATAGAGAAAGAAAGAAAGAAAGAAGCGAGAAAGAGTCTAAGGACGTTCCCATGTGTTCTGAGATAAATTCCAGACTTAGACTCATAAAAGGTTACTAAAGAAAGCCAGAAACCAGTATAAGGGACAAAATCCTGTCCTCATTAGGTCAAGAATGTAACATTATAAGCCTTACCCTTTCCTAGAGGACAGGAGGCCACTATGGCACATTCCTTCAGGATAAACCAGGAAGCAGTTGTGTCCCGAAAGGGTAAAATCTCCATACAAATGAAAGTCTCCTGTCTACTTCCGGCCCCACGTGGTCAGTGTTGCAGGATTGGTTCCTGCATACAGAATCATGGGGAATTTGTCCCTCGTATAACTCCGCGATTCCTTGTTGTAACCCACATATCGTAAATGAGTTAAAAAAAAAAAAAAAAAAAAGCCAGAAGAGTGGGCTTTAGACATCTCTTGGACTGACCTCTGTTCCAAAGACCACCGCACTGTCTACGCTGCAGCCAGAATCATCACTTAAAAAGGCAAAACTGAGCACATTACTCAATGGCTTCTAGTTAAACACAGCTGTGAAAGGCTCGGGAGAGCCTGTGGGACCTATCCTGGCTTCCACCCCGACATTCCAGGCCTTTGTCTTTCCCACCTCACTCTCCTACTGCTTCCTGGAATTCCTCAACGTGTCAGGGACCCACTGCCCCGGGACCATAAGACAAGCTTTTTCTTGCTTCAAATAAACGTGCCCCAGTCCACTGCTTACTTTTTCCCATCTACTCATTAACTCCTTTTTTTTTTTTGTCTTTAATTTCTGTTTAAACATCACTTCTGTAAGGAGGTCCTTCCTGATTGCACCTCACCCTTCCCAGTGCAGACCTGGTCAGATTCCCCAGGATAGTAGTGCATAGCTCCCAAAACTTTTTCATAGCACTTATCATAATCTAAGTAAATAACTGACTGATTATTTGTTACTGTGCCTTCCTTACTATGATGGAAGTTTCACAAAGACCAAGACCAGGTCTTACCTTGTTCAGTAAATTTACAGTAGGTGCTTCGTACATAAAGTTTACCATCAAATGTGGAATATCCAAGCTTTTGGAATTATCACAGGGAAACAAGATGTGAACAGACTCAGTCACTTGTTCGAGGTTAAGTGTAACCTTGGACCCAACTGTACCCAGCTCGTCTCAGCTTTGTGGACACCATGCTATTCGATTTCAAAACATTACCTTAAAACAGAGTATGCAAAATGGCAATCTGTGGACGATATCCTGCCTGAAGCTATGTTCTCTTTGAGTCACATAAGTGAACAGATACCTGGAAAATTTCCCATTAAAAATATGTGTATCCAGTTTCCTTAGGAAAGAAAAAAGACCAGACATCACGAGGCCCATATTTCCACATGGCAACTACTGCCTGGAACTGAGTGATGGAGGCATCCTAGGAATACCTTTACTCACTACCCTCTCCCCTCCTGACCATTTCACTCATTTAGGATGGTTGCCTGGTTCCTACAGGCATTGGGGTTTGTTGCCCCTGCTCACCAGAATGACAAAAGATAAAAATTGTTCAATCGTTGATGGCTGCAGAAGCATCTAAAATGCGGGTTTTCCCTTACTTGGTCATACAGTGTACATGGCTCTTGGCTTAGATCTTTAAAATGATATAGCTTTCATTCCAAATGCCATTTATTTGTCCTCATTATTTGCAGGGGATTTTGTCGGTCTTACTGATCACCAGCGTGGTAGAGCTCAGCATCTCTGTGACTATCGCCTCCTTTAGAAGCAAGTGCTGGGCAAGGTCAAATGAGGTGCGTTCAATGTTATGAGAACGGATTACCACTGGGACACTCCAAGGTTCCCAGGTGACCTCTAGCTTATCAGTGGGTGGAGCAACATTCTCAGATGCCGAACTGAAAATTCTAAGTTTAGGAAGGTCAAGGAGGGACAAGCTTAAAATTGAAGGCCCACACCACCCTTTGAGATATCTATGCTTCTTCTTGCCTTATCTGCTATCCACAGTCATCTCCATTCAGACATAGCTTCTGATCTCCCCACTAAAATATAAGCAAGACTAGACTTAATGGAAAACCATATTACTGTAAAACAGGGAGCTTACACCTGAGTCATAAGGGTATATAAGACAATTCCCCCACCAGAGAGGAAGCGGAGAAGAAAAATATTTAACAGTGATACTAATATGATTTACAATAATTATTAGAGCTTACATGACTGAATGCTGTCATTGTTAAATTACTTAGCACCAACTCACTCAATCCTAACAAAACTACTAGAACACCCTTATTTTACATATAGAAGAACTAGAGCACAAGGAGTAACCTCCCCAGTGTCACGTAACAGCAGGCTCTGGCTGAAATCATGTGGTTCCAGAGTCTGCTCTCTAAATCCCCGATAACAGTACCAGGTCCTGTGTTAGGGCTTTTTGTTTCTGTTTTTGTTTTCCCCCCCTCTCTTTTTTACATCAACTTTATAAAAACATAATTTACAAGCAATAAAATGCACCCTTTCTAAGAGGTTTGGCAAATTGTATACACCTGTTTAGCTACCACCGCAGTCAAGATACAGTGAATTCCTGTCACCTCAAAAAATTCTGTGCAACCTCTCGGCAGCCAGTATCTTCATCGCCTCGATTAGTTATAGCTTTCTCTAACTTCACATTCACGGAATCCTAAGCAAGTATTCTTGGCGTCTGGCTTCTTTCACTCAGCAGGCTGTTTATGAGATTCATCTGTGCTGTTGCATGCATCAGTAGTCCATTGCTTTCATGTAAGGATACACCACAATCTGGTTATCCATTTACTTTTTGATGGGCATTTGGTAGCCATGAACATTTGAGTTGGTGTCTTTGTGTTGTATCTAGGATTTGATTGCCAGATCATGTGGCAAGTGGATGTTTAACTTTCTAAGAAAATGCCAGACACTTCTCCAAAGTGACTGCACCATTTTGCATTCTTATCGGCAATATCTGAGAGGTACAGTTGCTCCATATAATCACCAATCCTTGGAATTGTCAGTTGTATTAATAATTTAGCCATTCTAGTGGGTACGCAGTATTTCATGATAGTTTTAATTTGCATTTTCCTGATGACAAACGATGATGAGACTCTGTGTTTATTGTCCATTTGTATATCCTTTTTTTTTTGAGATGTGTCTATTCAAATATTTAGCCAACTTTCATTGCATTGCTTATCTTATTGAGTTATAAGAACCTAACTGATTCTTAATATAAGTCTTTTTGTGAGATACGTGTATTGCTAATATTTTTCCCAGCCTTGGTTTGCCTTTTCATTTCCTTAATAGTTTCTTTCAAATAAATTTGATGAAGTCTAATTTATGATTTCTTTTATGGATAGTTCTTTCTGTGTTCTAACAAAACTTTGCTTACACCAAGGTTGTAAAGATATTCTCCTCTGTTTTATTGTAGAAGTTTTATAGTTTTAGTTTTTATGTATAGGACTATAATAGATTTTGAGTTAAATTTTATATATAGTTATGACGTAAGGTTAGAAGTTCACACACACACACACACACACACACACTGCCATAGAGAGTTTAAACACTATTTGTTGAAAATGCAATGTTTCCCCCTATTACCTTAGCAATTTTGTGAAAATCAAATGACCTCTTATTTCTAGGTCTCTTTTGGACACTTTTTTTTTGTCCCGCTGATCTATATATCTATCTTTCCACATATTTCACACTGTCTTAATTTCTGTAGCTTTCGAGTAATTCTTTTTTAGTGTAGTACAACATGCTATTTATCATTTCAACCATCTGTAAGTGTACATTTCAGTGGCCTTAAATACATTCATAATGATATATAACCATCACCACTATCTATGCCCAAAACTTTTTATCATCCCAATACAAATTCTGTGCCATTAAACAGTATCTCTCCTTGTCTACTCCTTCCAGCCAATAGTAACATCTATTCTACTTTATGTCTTTATGTCTACTATTATCTAGTGCCTATGATCGATAACTTACAAAGGTTGAATCATGTATTTGCATTAATGTTTCTGCTTATTTGACTAAACATAATATTTTCCAGTGCATTTATGTTGTAGCATATATCAAAATTTCATTCCTTTTATGGACAAATCGTAGTCCCTTGTGTGTATATACCACATTTTGTCTAGCCATTCATTTGTTTGATGGACACAGACAGGCTTTTTGTGCCTTTTGGCTATTGCGAATAATGCTACTATGAACACTGATGTACAAATATCTGTTTGCATCCCTGTTTCCAATTCTTTGGATATATACCTAAAAGTGTGATTCCTGCAACAAATAGTAGTTATATGTTTAACATTTTGAGACACTGCCAAACTGTTTTTGACAGTGGCTGCACCATTTTACATTCCCACCAACGGTGCATAAAGATTCCAATTTCTCCACATCATCGCCAACACCTGGTATGTCCTTTCTTCTTTAATAAAAGCCATGGGTATGAAGTGGCATCTCATTGTTTCTATAAGTTTTACAATTTTAGCTTTTAGGTTTATATCTTTAATCTATTTTGAGTTAAATTTTATATATGGTATAAGATAATGCTCCAACTTCCTTCTTTTACTTATGGATATCCAGTTTTCCAGCACCATTTGTTGAAACCGTCCTTTCCTCCACTGAATGGTCTTGGTACCCTTGATGAAAATCAATTGATATATGTGAGGGTTTATTTCCGGGCTCTGTATTCCAGTCCAGTCATCCATATGTCTGTCTTTATGCCAGTACCATACTCTCTTAATTACTGCAGCTTTGTAGTAAGTTTCAAAATTAGAAAGTATGATTCTTCAACTTTAGTCTTCCTTTTCAAGATTTATTTTTTAGCTATTTGGGGCCCCTTGAAATTTCATATGAATTTGTGAATTGGTTTTGACATTTCTGAGAAGAAGGCTGTTGGAATTTTGATGAAAATTACATTGAATC